CTTGTGTAATTCATAGACAGTGTCTGAGTATGACCAGTTGTAGAACTCTGCTATAGTCTCCATCTGTTGCAAAAGAAGTTTCTTTGACGAATGGTGACTGGAATACTTGTCTGTAAATATAAGGATCCATATTTTGCACATAGTAAGAAATTAATTTGTCTAGGGATGTGACAGCATTGATGTTTTCTCTAAGATATAAGACCTCTCCAGCCATCTGTAGTGTGTATTTGGTTATGTTTACAGCACCATACATGAGTTTCTTCCCATTTCGTAGGCTTTAAGTCCAATTAGGTAGCTGCTGATTACCCCCAAGATAAAAGTGCCACTACTGCATCCATGTTGTTTGCTGTAACACGTACGATTTTAAAATTAAATAAATAAACAAAAGCTTCTTGATGTTGGTTCGTGTGCCCAGTTTTAAGCATCTTTGAGGTGGCATTATGATGAAATAGGGGCAGAGGTGGCTCACACACTGGGTTATGCATCCTCATTCTAACCTGGCTATCAACACAGGAAAACACAAGCATATACACTCAGATTTCATCAGAATGCTTTAAAAACTAACAGCCAATGATAGTATTCAAAGTGAGCTCCCAGCTGTGCGTACCACACACACTTTTAGTCCCAGCACTTGGGAGGCAGACCCAGAGGCAGAGGCAGGCAGATCTCTGAGATGGAAGCTGGTCTGGTCTATATAGCACATTCCAGACTAGCTGTGGCTACAGGGAGACCCTGCCTCAAACAAACAAAACCATACAAATGAGCTTGCAGTTATTCCTGCCTCTGTAATATAATAACCCACTATAAAATTATATTTATCATAACTCCTTTAAAAGTAATTTTTCAGGATTGTTTTGTGGAAAATTCCAAGCTTATTACTTATTCCTAACCAGTTACACAAACATGCCCCACATTGTTGGACATCCAACCCTAAGCATAAATGCCCACTGCTCAGAATTTCCTGTTTCTTAGAAACCTAATAATTTTGAAACATTGCAGGATTATTCACATAGAAGACATTGCAGTCCTGAAGTATATATAGCCCTTAGGAGAACAGGAACACGGCCGCTGCTGGCTGTACAGATGGAAATTCAGTGGTCTGCTGAAATAGAAATTAAGAGGCTTTAAAAGAAACGTAGAAAAGAAACATTTCAAAATGTATTGTAAACTTTAACCATATAAATTAATCTATACAGATGCAGATACAGACTTCAAATTTCAAAAATGGGCTTCTTTCATGTATTGGGAGCTTTAGATTTCCTTGTTATACAATTTTTTTTTCTTTAATTAAGAACTTGAATTTGAAGCTGGGCATAGTGGCACACACCTTTAATCCCAGCAGGGGAATCTCTGAAGTCAAGGCCATCCTAGTCTACATAGCAAGTTCTAAGCTAACTGATACTACAGGGAGACTCCCTTACCACCACCACCCCCAAAAAGCAAAAAATAACTTGTATTTGAAAACTAAGTTATTTCCTCGATGATTATTCAGGAACACTGTCCGTCTTCTCATGATTTTAGATTTTTCTTCCCTGCATGTACTTAGTAAATCCTGACACTGGTATGTATTTGAACCCCAAAATAAAACAGTAGATCAAGAACTACTAGTTATGGAATCAAATAAAAATTTTCTCTGTGGCTGGCCTTGTGTAGGCCTTTAAAAAAAATCTCATTTTATTTAAGAACACTCCAACTGGAAGTGGGTGACAGATATGGCTGTCAGCAGGTGTTCAAGTGTACTCTCCCTGCTGGCTCATGGAACTGATATTTCAGTTACTTATTTTTAGCCACGCATCATTGATAACAATCTCTGTCAAAGATGGGCTTGACTATGAAAAAAAGAAAACAATGAAAGAACAATTAAATTTTTGCCTTTTTCCCCCCTATAGTCACCTTAGATTTTGTAATACTGTAATGTATACATGGGTGGGCATACAGGCGTACATGTGTACACACATGTATGTATGATTCCAACCTTTGTTTTTCTGAGACAGGGTCTTACCAAATATCCCTGGCTAGCCTGGAACTCACTGTGTAAACCAGGTTGGCCTCCAAGTCACGGAGATCTGCCTGCCTCTGCCCCTAGGGTGCTGGGACCAAAGGCTTGAGCTGCCTTGCCTAGCAATTCTAACCGTTTGTGCTCTGGGTTACTGGGCCAAAATTGATATCATCATCTTTACCATTACTATTACTGTTACTTTGCAATGCTGGGGCTCAAACTCAGGGCTTTATATATGCTAGGAAGTATTGTACCACTGATTAATCCTGTATGTGCACCCTCCAAATTATTTTATTTTGGTTTATAAAGTTAATGCTGATTTGCTTTCAATTTTCCCTAATACAGCCTACAAGCGCAAACCAAAATTAGACGTCAGCTTTTAAAAAGTAAACCTTGATGTTAGGTGGGAAGTTCATGTGCCTAGTTTGTCATTGAGACTTAACTGCTGCAAAGGAGTACAAATCAGCCATGTATGAGCTGCTGACAAATGACTGTGGCAGATGAAGGATTCAGTGCGTTGGGCTTGTTACTCAGCCTCTACAGTGTGTCTCAGTTCCTGTTAGCCAGTACATGCAGGGTTAAGGTAGTCTTTTTTGAATCTACTCTACACTGGGTTTTACTTGGTCTCCCATAAGCTTCTTGTCTTGCAGCTCCTTCTTGAGTAGACTTGCTATAACTGGGTGGCAGTGTTTAATTCTGGGAATCAAAAAAGGCTGTACTTGGTCTGGAGAGATGGCTCAGCAGTTAAGAACACTGGCTGCTCTTGCAGAGAACCCAGTCCTGATTCCCAGCACCCACATGGAGGCTAACAATTGTCCGCATCTCCAGTTCCACGGGATCCAAAGCCCTCTGTCCTCCGAGTCCATTGCATGACAAGGGTGCACATACATACACTCAAAACATAAAATAAAAACTAATTAATTAAAAAAAAAAACAGAGCTGTGGTATTGGTCAATGTTCAGAATGACTCATTTGAATAAAAACCCAAGTGTGAGGACTAGGGGGTAGGTAGCTCACTTGCCTAGCAAGCAGGAGGCCTGGGGTTTGATTCCCAACACCTTCTAAAACTGGGTGTGGATGTGCACACCTTCTACACACTGGGGAGGTGGAAGCTGGAGGATCCAAAATTTAAGGTCATCCTTGGTTGTAGATAAAGTTTGAGGCCAGCCTGGGGTAATTTAAGACTTTGTCAAAAATAAAGAACAAAAGAAAGAAGAAAGAAAAAGTGCATGTGAAAGCACATACATAGTGAAGCCATTGTGAAAACTCAATGAAGCCACTGAACTCTTTCAACCAACCTAATTTTAGCTTGATTTTTTTGATAGTCATTAAAAACTATTTACTAGAGTTAAGAATGACTTTATGATAGTTTATTAGTGTTTAAAAGAGAATTTAGTATTAACATTTGGTAGATAAATTTAAGTAGATGGATAATAGGAAACACAGCTGGTCTCAGGTTCTTTTCCTGCTTAATGACACTATACATACGCTTATTTTTGTTTAATTTTTAAGGTATAATTTCACTGTGTAGCCAAGATTGGCTTTAAACTTAAGTTCCTCCTCCCCAGTGCTAGAATTATAGGTATATACCACATCACCTGGTTAAATTTTATTTATAAAACCAAAATTGTTTTCTGGTGGTTTTGATTTTTTGTTTTCTTTGTCTTATGTGTTTTAGTAATCTGTATAATGTTTTGTTTAGTAAGCATCTTGCTTCCTTTATGTCTGGTTCTCAGAATCTGTGCATCTGTTTCATACCTGCCCCCCAAGTACTTAATGTTTTTCAACATAGTTGCACTCTGTTGAGCCCATGGCCTGACTTCCCGCATGCCACCTTGCTCTTGTTACAGTACTAGCTATCTGAAATTTGGTATTAGTCTGAGATCAAGTATATATTCTTAAGCTTATGTCAAAGTAATACAGTGTCATAATTATTATTTAAATCATTAATTCATTTAAACAAATGAAGTTTATGCAAAATTTTAAGTAGAGACCTTTTTTTACCCTAGTTTGTTATTTTTGTTTTGTTTTTTGTCTTTTTGAGACAGGGTCTCCTTGTAGCCCCAGCTGTCCTGGAACACACTGTGTAGACCATGTTGGCCTTGAACTCACAGAGATCTGCCTGCCTCTGCCTCCTGAGTGCTGGGATTAAAGGTATGCGCCACCACGCCCAGCCCTAGTTTATTTTTTTTATTTACAAAATCTTTCTTTTTTGTGAAGTTGACAATAAATTACCCTGGTTAATTGCTCAGTTAGATTTTGTTAGTCCCTCTTTTTAAAAATAGTTTGTGCTGGATATGTGTACACAATTTAGTAGCTGTACCATGAGCTTTGAGTTCTGCTGCTTTGCCTCCTGTTCCTCTTGTTTTTACCAGAGTGAATGTAGGTTTGCTAAGGATAAGTGAGAAAGACCTGAGAGTGGGAGGGGCTTCAGAGGAAGACAGCTTCCTTGGTTGGAGGGGCGTCAGGAGAGGACATCCTCCTCGGTGGGCGGGGCTTCAGGAGAGGCCATCCTCAGTAGGAGGGGCTTCAGGGGAAGACCAGCCTCCTCGGTGGGAGGGGCTTCAGAAGAGCATGGCCTCCTCAGTGGGAGGCGCTTCAGGAGAGGACAGCTTCAGCAGTGGGAGAGGCTTCAGAAAAGGATGGCTTCCTGGCTCTAGATCCTGGATAGCAGCCACATGTACTAAATCTCCTCACCTCTATCTCCTCATGTAAAACTGGGAATGGTGGCAAGCTATTTTTCTGTGGGATGAATGAAAGTACCTAGTAGGAAATAAACACCTCTTGAACAGTGAATAGATTTGATGAATGTTTCCTAACTACAGATTGGAAGATATTGTAGACTGGAGACTAATGTGGAATTACAACAGGTTTCATGGGTAGAGTGACATAGGATCCATGGATACTGAGTTCATCTCGTAGCGGACCTTACCTTTCCATAGGTACGTGGCAGATTACTAATTTTCTCTCTCTCTTTCTCTCTCTCTCTCTCTCTCTCTAGGACACCTACGCAGAGCTACAATGGAAAAGTCCTGGATGCTGTGGAACTTCATTGAAAGATGGCTCATAGCCTTGGCTTCCTGGTCTTGGGCTCTCTGCCGCATTTCTCTTTTACCTTTGATAGTAACTTTTCATCTGTATGGAGGCGTTATCTTACTTCTGTTAATATGTGTATCCATCGCGGGCATCCTGTATAAATTCCAGGATGTCTTGCTGTACTTTCCAGAACAGCCATCTTCTTCCCGCCTCTACGTTCCCATGCCCACGGGTATTCCACATGAAAACATTTTCATCAGAACCAAAGATGGAGTGCGCCTGAATCTGATTTTGGTGAGATACACTGGAGACAGTTCTCCCTATTCCCCGACTATAATTTATTTTCACGGGAATGCAGGCAACATAGGTCACAGGTTACCAAACGCACTGCTCATGTTGGTTAACCTCAAAGTTAACCTGCTGCTTGTTGACTATCGAGGATATGGGAAAAGTGAAGGTGAAGCAAGCGAAGAGGGACTCTATCTAGATTCTGAAGCTGTACTAGACTATGTGATGACCAGGCCTGACCTTGATAAGACCAAGGTTTTCCTGTTTGGCCGTTCCTTGGGAGGAGCGGTGGCTATTCACTTGGCTTCTGAGAACTCTCACCGGATCTCAGCCATCATGGTGGAAAACACGTTCTTAAGCATACCACACATGGCCAGCACTTTATTCTCTTTCTTTCCAATGCGTTACCTTCCTTTATGGTGCTATAAAAATAAGTTTCTGTCCTACAGAAAAATCTCTCAGTGCAGGATGCCTTCCCTCTTCATCTCGGGACTCTCCGACCAGCTGATTCCGCCAGTGATGATGAAGCAGCTGTACGAGCTTTCCCCGTCTCGGACTAAGAGATTGGCCATCTTTCCTGACGGCACACACAATGACACGTGGCAGTGCCAAGGCTACTTCACTGCACTCGAGCAGTTCATCAAGGAAGTGGTGAAGAGCCATTCTCCAGAAGACATGACGAAGACGTCGTCTAATGTCACAATTATATAAGGCTGCCCTCTTGGTGAATGCCTTGCATTTTACATGTGCAGAGTGATAATGTTCTTTCTAGATGTGGTATGTCTGTACTCTTGCAGAGTGACGTTGCACTTGGGAAGGACCCCAGCATTACTTTCTGATGATCCAGCAGTTTTTTACATTTGAAGAACTGTAATTCTCCAGATTATTTCATATTTTCATCAGAACTTTCAGGCTAATTATATATCTTAACTTTAGTTAAATATGTCAGTGTAATAGAAGTTATTCAGAAGTTTCTTGTTGCTTAAGTGGTATAATCTGTTGTACTCAGAAGGCGGTCTATGAACAAGAAACCTTTGAATGGCATTCTTTTGGTAAACATTGGGACAATCACGGTAAGGAAACCTAGTTCTATAACTGCATTTTTCACCTTAAACATTAAAATGAAGTGCATGGTGATTATTTTATTCCTTGACATATGCAATGCAATGTTTTTAATGTAAATAGTGGTTACATGCTAATGTATATGGTTACCTGGGTTATATCTATTTTTATGTAAATTCTATTTTGTTCTTGGCAAGAAGTGAACGTAAGACCTGTGTGCAGGTACCGTTGAACTTTGCTCTGGTGAATGCTGAGACCAGCTTTTTCTTAATAATAAATGGGACCGTTTTCTGATATAGATGTGCTGTGTTTTTGTTAGGTGCAGTCTGGATCATGGCTAAGAGGATAGAAATTTATAATTTTACTGCAGCTAACTGCATATTGAACTTTTTAACATTTGATATTTTGATGGCAAACAGAATTTTAGCCTTTGTCAGTTTTGTAAATCTACAGCTGAACCATTAATAGCACTCATAGTAAAGGTTAGAACTTGCTCAAAAATTAAATTAGTCTTAGCACATCAGTATACAGACTGCTTTGTGGAATTCCCACATCTGACTCAAATCCTAGTACATAGGATATGCCAAACTCAACAAAGTCAAGATCATTTATTGAACTTTTTGAAAGTAGAAGTTATAAAAACAAAGGCTAAACAGGCAACTTCTGTTAGTTTAATATTCCAGTTGCTGTGTAATGAACTACATCAAATGACAGTCTTAGGAAATTCAATTATTTATACATTTTTACATGTGGAGATGAAGGATTCTAGAGCCTTTTGACATAGAACTGATTATACATTTAACAGTTACATAGCTAGCTAGCTATAGGTGGGAAGTAGCATTCAGATATATAGAAAGTAAGAAAAACTATCTTAAAAAAATAAGCGCATTGACGCCTGCAGAAATTTATCTTCATAGACTATGAATCACGAGATAGAGTTGTGCCAAGTCATTTTCAGACAGCCCTCACCAGGTCGATGTATTTGAACCTGTACAATGTCAGCATGAACACACTGTCTCAGACAGTTCAGCTTTTATATATGGCCTTCCACAGGTAGCTAGAACAGAGTAATAAAGAGTCAGTAATCTTGACCTTAATTTCAAACTTGTGTGAGCATAGAGCTAGAAGTACTTTTGCCAAATAGCGTTCTTAACCTTCGTTTTATGAGTGTTTAGAAAATGATGTATAGCAAGTGTAATTTCTTTAAAAAGAAATGCTTTTCTATAAGTTATTAATTGTAAAAATCTTGCTTTTCTGAAGAGTTGGTGAGTCATCATGGAGGGTTTATTTTATGTAAATTGACACTGATTAAAGACTGCTTTTCATTTGTCCATCTTTGCTGTTAGCATGACTGTCCTGAATACCAGTTTACTGAAAAGGAAGGAGGCAGCAGAGAGTTGTCTAACAGAAGTCAGCTTCCATGGCATCCTTTTAATCAGTCCTTCTGTTTGCAGAGTGCTAAATCCCATGGTCTGTTTAGTGAAGTCATTTGGACTGGAGGAATTTACCAACATTAGTTATAATTACCCTGATGGGATTCAAAAGTGTTTTCTTCATCAGTGTTCTCTGTGCTGCTCATGTCTTTTTGCTGAGCCAGGCCGTGAGGGGTCACAGAGCTCTTTGCTGCCGTTCTTACCTTCCCTCCTTTGGAAGGAGCCTTTATCTCTGTGGCAAAGTGCAGAGGCTGTTCAGGGATGCAGGCATCTTTCTTTATCAGCTTTTATGTTTGACATTATTTCTTTAGATTGGTAGGGGGTAGAAACAAACTCGGGACTTTTGAGGGGCCATGAAGGGCCCCTGGCATCATTTTGAAAGCCTTGTGACTTGGCCACAGTGATTGGTCTCATTGCAAGGTGGCTTCTTCATGATCCCTCCATCTTGTCCTTGTCTCATGGGATTGGGCATAT